TTATTATGATGGGACGTATCAGAAAGATTGATAGATCCATGAATGGCGGTATAGCTAGGACAGTTATTGCTAGACGAGGTCTCTTTCGGAGGCCGCGTGAGGCGAGTGTGAGGTTGCTAGTCGACCCAGCAACCGGAAATGAATCCGGTATTCCGAATGTAGGCGTTCGACATCCGGTTACGGTAAGTGGATTCATTCAGTTGGTAACACAAAGATAATCAGGATCGGAGAGAGTCTAGTGTGGTTGGGTCCTGTTGCCTTTTAAAAAGCCATTGAATGATCGGGGTGGTGGCGGTGTCTCTCGGGACGTCGGGGGTCGGTATTCGTTGGGTTCATAACGGGTTGCCGATTAATGGTAAGAGTTGGATACTCAAGTTTTATCAAGGTTGAAGTACTCTCAGGACTTCAACTTGAGGGGTGATACCCGGTCCGGGAAGCAGGGCTGAAGGCCAGGTATTATGATTCGTTCAAAATTTGGCCTGGTTGGGCAAGGCGATGCATCGTGTAGGACTGTTGCGGAAGCTCAGTCTGATTCATAGTGCATGTTATGTATCAGCCACAGAAGTGTTTGGATGAAAACTCTACTGTACTTCCTTATAGTCGATATTCAGGTAAAGGAGCGTCTAAGTCATGGGAGGAAGTTAGTACTAGTTATCGAACAGAAAATGCAGGCCATGAGGAAGTAAGGTAGCAAGATTAGTGAAGGTGCAATGGGAATTAGCAGTCATGTCATAGTAGGTGATGGAAGTCGCGGGCGTGGCTCGTAAGTAGCGGCCAAAGGAGGAGATTAGGGAGCATTACCCAGACCCTGTGCATCAGCAGACTTCGAGGATGAATTCTAGTTCAAGTGGGGGAGATTTATAACACTTGGTTTATGTGTTATTCAGTTTTCAACATTTTGAGACTTTTGGACTGGAACTCGACGAGTTGGGGAGTTCCAACTCGTCGAGTAGAGATCATTGTGGACGCGAAATGAAGGGTCTACTCAACGAGTTGGAAGGCCCCAACTCGACGAGTAGACACTGGAAAGGAAAACCCTAATTTTCAGGGTTTGTACCCTATTTCAAGGCCTTAAGCCTCACTTGCCTCCTTTATCACCCCTTTGTCAATAGAAACCCTAAATCGTATCTCATCTCCTATTTTGAGTGTGTGAGGGCTTAAGGAGTGCCTTTTTGGTGTTTATATGAAGAAGCTTGAAGTGGTTGGTGTATAGCTGAAGGGAGAGGCTGTAGATCCGGTGTTTACTTTGCTGTGGCAACCATTTTAAGGTATAAAGTCGAAACCTTGACCTTCCATTGCTTAGATCTTCTTCTATGAAAGTTTATGGCCATTATTAGTCTAGTTTGGTACCATTCTTGGTTTTGAGCATGATATGAAGATATGGCTTTAGATCTCGACATCTCAGGGCCTTTGGGGACTTAGAGTTGCCAACTTTATCAAGTCTTGGCCCCCCTTCATGCTCTAAGTCCCTTGACAAGCTTTGATTAAGTGTTTTTAGCCTTTGATGCCTTGCGTGAATGTAAAGTTAGCAACTTTACGTGGTATCTTAACCCTAGGGGGCTAGATCTGTAGTTTGGGGCTTTAGATTCGACTGGAAAGGGGATAAATATGTTGAGACAGGGGAAAATCGACGAGTTGCCCTGGCAACTCGATGAGTTGGGTCGAGTTTTCCCGCTTTCTGGATACTGAGCAAACTCGGTGAGCCAATAAGATAACTCGGTGAGTTGGCTAGGGTTTTTCCCGGTTTCTGAACACTGAAGGAACTCGACGAGTTGCTAGATGCACTCGACGAGTTGGGTCAACATGGACTGTTCACCTTGACTGTTGACTTTGACTTTGACCATGAGTTGACTAGGGTTGACCGTTCATTATTTTAGGCCTTTTTGGTAGTGGGCCTTCTCGGATTAGGTCTATTGATAGAGTTATGGACAATATAGTATTGGGCTTTTGTTTTGGGCTTGGGCCTCAGTTTTGGATCATACTTGGCCAGGGGTAGAATGGTCGTTTTACCCCATGTATGGATTAAGGATTATAGTATGGAACCCAAATGCTAATTGGGTATATTGATTGGTATTGGCAGCTCAGGAAGCCGGCGGGGCAGCAACTAAGGATGTCATTCGGGAAGCTTCTGCATTCGAGGTGAGTCTCCTCACCATACCAATGGGTCGAAGGCACCAAGGCCAACCCATTTTATGTTATGTGGTACACTAGTTGATGTAGTGATATGTGGTATGCTAGTTGGTTATATTGTAGGCGGTATGCTAGTGTTTATGTGATATTTGCAGGAAAGACCATGGGGGAGCTCATGACACTTAGATGTAAGACCATGTGGGTGAGCCCATGGCTTTTCAGGTAAAGACCATAGGGGGAGCCCATGACGCTTGGATGTAAGACCATGTGGGGGAGCCCATGGCTTTTCAGGTAAAGACCATGGGGGGAGCCCATGACACTTGGATGTCAGACCATGTGGGGGGAGCCCATGACTTTCCAGCTAAAAACCATGGGGGGAGCCCATGGCACTTAGGTGTAAGACCATGTGGGGGAGCCCATTACATCCTGGAGTAAGACCCTGCGAGGAGCCCACGTCATCCCTATATGTTTATATGCATGGCTTATGTGATTGATATGGTTTATATAGTTGTTATAGCTAATATGGATCATGTGGTTATGTAGATTGTGTGGGGTATGCTCTGGGGAAGTCACTAAGCTTCATGCTTATAGTTTTGTTTATGGTTTCAGGTATCATCGGTTGAAAGGAAGGGCCCGACTTGATCGCAACGCACACACCCGTGTTCCGCAATATATGATTTTGGGGCGAACTCTGATAAATGTTTTTAATTAATCATGTTCTTGGAATGTTTGGATTTAAAAGATAATTGTGTTTTTACTATTATAAAAACGAAATTTTTACCATTGATTTTTGGGTCGTTACATAAACCTATGCATGAATAGATCTAGCTAAAGATAAGTCAAGGTAACGACTTGTTACCTTCAAAATGATGCCAAGATGAAGTAGAGTCAGATCCACAAGCTTCTCTTTGTTCCAAGCTCCTTAGACTTCAAGCCTTCTTCACAAAATCCACCTTCCAAGCTGGGAGTCGGGATGTTACAATTAAGGTGGGTTGCACCTGATCCAACATCGGCTGGGAAAGAGAACTAAGCATTCCTTATAAGGGGTGTGGATAGCTTCCCTGTCACAACGCGTTTTAAAGCCGTGAGGGCAACAGATCCTATAAGAACTCTGCAGTTAAGCGTGACCGGGCGAGAGCAATACAAGGATGGGTGACCCCCTGGGAAGTTTTCGTGCCGAGAGCCCAAAGCGGACAATATTGTGATACGTGCAAGAGGGGGATATTACAAATGGTATCAGAGCTGGGGCACAGGTCGATGTGTTCGATGGGGACGTCGAAACCTATAATGGGGGGGGGGGGTGAAGGTGGTAAACACCTGATCCCACATCGGCTAGGAAGGAGAACTAAACATTCCTTATATGGGGTGTGGATACCTTCCCTGTCACAGCGCGTTTTAAATCCGTGAGGGCAACAGATCCCATAAGAACTCTACAGTTAAGCGTGCCCGGGCGAGAGCAATCCAGGGATGGGTGACCCCCTGGGAAGTTTTCGTGCCGGGAGCCTAAAGCGGACAATATTGTGATACGTGCAGGAGGGGGATGTTACAGCGTTGGTTACTTCACCAGTCAAAACACATCCATTCCAGTTCGAGGTTCTCTCAACATGTTTTAGATCAATAAGAGGTCGATGTATCTATTTTCTGACCAACAACAACTTTTGCGAAGGATTTATTATCTCTAAAACCCCAGACCTTAGGTTGTACATGATAAGAGTTATAAGGAGGAGGAGGAGGAGCACTCAACCTCACATGATTCCTAATGGCATTTGACGAGTTACCCTGTTTCTCGTACTTTGTTGTATACCTTTAATATGCAGTGTTCACATCTCACCCTGCACATCTCTTTCTCTAATATCTTTGCGTCTCTTACACCTTCGAATCTGGATAACAAAAAGGTTGAGTCTGATCTATATCTTTTTCCATCGATATAAATGTCTACCACCTTTCCAAACACTTGGAATGAGCTCCTCATCTTGTTCTTGCTTGCGTTATCTGGTAGATTCGATACATAGTATGAAGTTACAGTTATGTTTGCCCCCGTTGAGTGGATCAAATTCTTTCTCTAGCGAATCTTTGTCCAATCTCCTTGGTTTGCCATGCGACCGTCCGCCTTCTGCAGAGCATTTTTTCTTTGATAAGTGTAAACCCTAATGTTGGTGATTGACAAACCTTTATTATGGTTGCAAATAACAAAATGAAGTTTGAATCATAATATGATTTACCAAGATTTAGCAAAAAGAAAGTGGATGTTTTATCATTTGTTTCCTACCGAGGTTGCAAGAGGAGGATTTAAAAATCAAAGTTCATTAAAAAAAGTCATATAACTTTTGTATTTTTTTCTATGGGAATCAAAGAGAAAGAAAAATATAATACTGATACATATACCTATTTGATAAATAAAAAATTTAAAAACAACTATTTGGTCAAGTAGTCCAATGTTGTCTACTTTTCCAATCAACTTCATTTTTTAGAAATGGTTAACCGAGTGGACATAAATAGGGGCGGATCTTTTCAAGGGCTAGGGGCGGATTTTTTAGAAATGGTCAACTTCATTTTTTAGAAATGGTTAACCGAGTGGATATAATACTGATTTTTGTCCCCCCTGATTTTTTTGGCATAAATAGTCCCTATGCTTTAACTTTATACATATTTAGTCCAAAAATATAAAATTTTGACTATGGCCCCCTGTTTACCAATTTTTATACAAATTATATTTTCGGCCCCCAAATGAAATATTGAAGCTCCGACACGAGACATAAACATTTGACTCTACTTGAATCAAATACTCTGATATGGACCGAGTTAGCCAAATGTCTAACCGGACCCGGTAAATCAAACAACCCTAACCCTTATTTTTTTTACGAATATCACTACAAATTATGCTGTATAAAAACAAGTCACTTAAAAAAAACAATAGTTTAATAAAGATTAAAAATGGTAATCGTCCTTGAATTATGGAATTCATTGTGTATTTCTAGGGAAAAAGAAGAGACACAAGTTTTGTGTGCCAGAAGATGCCAACGCTTAGGTGGAAAGCATGACCCCAAAAATTTGATTTTGCCGCGCGCTCACAGTCAACCCAACCTAATGACCAATAGGTTCGGTTTTTGGCATTTATTACCAAACCTTTCTCTAACATTAACCCACAAATCCGAACCTACCTTCTTCCCTTCCCTTCCTTCTCCCTCTTTAACATTTTTGCTCGTTTACAGGTGTTACATCGTCGCATCTTGTTCAACTTTCCACATATCTCCTTCCTAAAACCTTCCTACTTCTCACTATGAAGATTCTTCATACGTTTTAGATTCTGTCGTCTCCAAGGGTCGTCTTCATATGGGTCTTCTGATTTAAGGTAATTCGTGTTATTTTTTCCCAAATCAAATTTGCCAAAATGATTTCAACCCCAGATTAGTTTCATCTTGATGAACTTCTCATTCTTTAGTTTAATCGCTGTTATAAGTTTTCATTTCTAATAGTTTCAAGCTCGACCCACCATTCAAATCACAAATATTAATCTTGTGGGTCGGGAGTATTAATTGCTTCAGGAACTCTCTTTCAATGAATCACACATCTGGGGATGTGAGTGTTAGGAAGAAGGAACGAGTTTCATGTTTTCATTTATTTATTTATTTATTTTAATTAAAATTGTTTTAAGATGCTAAATGTGCGGTTCGGATTAGTTTTGTTTACTCATCGACATCCTTGTCAAATTGACAGGTTCATTTGAATTATTTTTATATCAATCGTTTCTCTCACTTCATTCAGTTTCAAACTTCGACTTTTATATAATTATTTAATTTCATACATCTAACACCTTCATCTCTCTCTATCTGTAATTAATTCCTTATAGGATACACGCAAGTTACAGTTGAGTCATTGTTCGTATTTCGCTCTTTCTTTGACTTCATTTTAAAATAAAGCAGTCACGAGTTATATCGTTTGTTCACATGCTTGACGAAGATATGTGGACGTATTTCTACCCACGAAAGATGAGAAAGATCGTCCGTTTCTGAGTTTGAATCTTGATGTTTCATTGTCAATTAATCTTCGAGGACAACTGAAAGATGTCAAGCAAGACTTCAACGAAGGAGATTGATCCGTTACTGAGGGATCTGGACGAGAAGAAACTGAATTTTCGCCGGAACGTGGTTTCACTCGCCGCCGAGCTCAAGGATGTCCGCAGCCGTCTTTCATCCCAAGAAGAATCATTTGCTAAAGAATCTTTAACTAGACAGGTACGCGTTCTTCATTTTTGATTCGACAACTTAAGTCAAAAGGAGTTCTAGTTGTTGTTTTATTTAGTGGGGCGATTGAATATTCATAGATCTTAACAATTTTCCGGCTTTAATGATTATATGTTGTTACAGGAAGCAGAAATAAGAGCTAAGAACATGGAAGAAGAGATTTGTCGATTGCAGAAGAGTTTAGATGAGAGAAATCTGCAGCTTCAAGCATCATCATCCGATGCTGAAAAGGTTTGACTTTCTTGATTTTAATCATATAGATTTGCATCGCTTGATTTGAATTTGTTTGATCTAGATTCTTCAAATATGTTTATATCAAAAACAAATCTTTGTAAGCTGCCTTTCGTCAGTTTCCCTTTGGCTTTTTGGTGGATTTAGAATAGGAATAGTTTAAATCCTTTTTGTGTTAGAATATTCTTGTTTCACTTTAGGGTTGAAAAAGTTTGTCTTTAGCAAATTTTGAATAACATGGAGACACCCAACTCAAATTGAATGACATAATATTTAGACCAAACTTGTATATGAAATACCCATTTTGTCCATATGTTCCACTTATGGTTCCTTTTAGATTGGATCAATAATGGGTAAATCTAGATCTGGTTTTTCATAATAAATGATGCATTTCGAGAGTTGTTCAAATCTAGATGTTACTATACGAGATTCTTTATGTTGTAATAATAAAAACTTTTGTAATATGATTATTACTTCAACATTTCCACACTAAGATTATAAACAAAAACACAATATACTTTAATATTATTCGAAAAAAAGTACAAGTATATCTACAAGTTTACTATGAAGTATGAGCATGAACACATAAACCTACTATTGTTTAGAAAAAAGAGAAAACATTACATATTCTACGTGAAACCCTAAATCGCACATGAAACTTTACTTTTAGTATACAAATGGCGAAAAAATCAAATTGAAAAGGCCTTTAGAATTTCTGTATATTTTTTTTACACTTGATATTTACAACTTCAGTCCTTGTTTTGTTAAATTTCTCCGCTACCCCTCGCACCGACATCAAAAACTTGGCAGCCGGTTTTTATTTATGACGCGTACTTTGCTTCCTTCAACTTTTGCCACAACAATTCTTTTCCTTTTTCAATCAGACCCTACAAATTTCCAAACTCGCGTATTTAATTATTTGCAATCCTTTTTCAAAACAAGATCGGGAATCCCTTTTTATATTTTTAACAAATAATCACTTTGACGAAGCACCCCTATACGAATCGAAGATGAATTATGTCCTGAACTCGATTATTTACAAATCTGCTTTCGTGTAACTGTGTCGTCATTTTGTTGGGTGTTTTCTAGCCAACAATTTATTCAGACAACAATTAATGAGTTTGTATCTGATCTTACAGTATCAACGGGAATTGGATCATCTTACATCACAACTTTCATCCACAAAAGCAACAGCGGATGCAAGTGCCATTTCTGCTCAATCTGCACAGCTTCAATGCATGGCTCTGTTAAAGGAACTGGATCAGAAGAACAGGTCGTTGAAAGAGCATGAAGCTCGAGTTAATCAATTGGCACATCAGGTAGATCTTTTGCAGAAGGATCTTGAATCACGAGAATCTACACAAAAACAATTGAAAGATGAAGTCATGCGAGTTGAACATGACATCATGCAAGCTTTAGCAAAAGCTGGAGCAAATAATGATTGTGAATTAAGGAAGATACTTGACGAGGTTTCACCTCGAAATCTTGACAAGATGATGAAATTGTTATCGGCCAAAGATGAAGAAATAAGCAAGTTGAGAGATGAAATCCGGGTTATGTCAGCTCATTGGAAACTCAAAACCAAGGATCTTGAGTCCCAAGTATGTCTATATATTCTTTGTGAATAGATGATATTTAAAATATATAAAAGATGTTGTACATATGGAAAATGGAAAGAAAAGTTAAATGAGGGCAAATTTGTAAATAGGACTTAAAAGGGGGAAGTCCCTTTCTCCATTAAGATGTGTTTTTTGACGTAAAAAGAGACTGATATATAGCTTATGTGATTAAGTTCCATCCGTATAAGCTCATTAACCAAGAAAGAAATAAAACACTTTAAGAGATTTATGTTTGATACAAAGTATTTATTAATGTTTAATTGTAATAAGTTGAAATCTTGTATGTGACAGTTGGAGAAACATCGTAGAGCAGATCAGGAGTTGAAGAAAAGAGTTTTAAAACTTGAGTTTTGTCTTCATGAAGCTCGAGCTCAAACCCGGAAGCTCCAACGGGTAATTCTACTTTTGTTGTTTTGGGCAAGAATTATGCAACCTTGTCTTACTTTGCTTCATATTTTGGCTATTTTTGTGGTTTAACAACTACTTTAAATCAAAATCAACCATGAAAGTCACCAACGTTTTGACACATTTTTTTGTGTGTTTTTCTATAGTAGGTTAAAGTGGTAATCGAAAAATCTGTCAAAGTTTAGTGGTTTTAATGGATTATTTAGTAAAAATGAATTTGATAACTTTCTCTATCTTGACCACTTTAACTTGCTAAAGCTAGTCAAAGCGGTCGGCTTAGGAAAATATGAAACTTTGGTGGCTTTCATGATAAAAAATGAAGTAGAGTGGTTAAATCGCAATAATGACCAAAATATAGTCCCTTTATTTCTATTACAACATTCCTCTTTCAGTTTTTTTATCTTTAAACTTTTTTCTTACTGGGATATTATATTTTGTAAAATGCATCCAGCTACTATAATAGTGAAAATTGGTTTTTTGTTTCAATGACATTTATATAAATTGGTAGATTCTTTTACAAGTCATACAAGGAAAGAAATGGAAGTATGATGCTATAATAATGATTTTGCAGATGGGAGAGAGGCGAGACAAAGCTTTGAAAGAAGTGAGAGATGAATTGGCAGCAACAAAGAATGGTGGAAACGGGGAAAACCAGAGCCAGAACCAGAACTTCTGGGAGATGCCAGGGTTTAAGATTGCTGTATCCATGTCGATGGTGATTCTGGTGTTGATTTCTAAGCGCTAGTAGTCTAGTAGTCTAGTAGCGTAGGTGTATTATGTTAGAGATAATTTGAAAGGTGAATGTGTATGTGAATGGAATTAAGTGTTGGATACCTGGATAAAAATTAGGATCATAGTGAGCCTGGAATTAAAGAGGGGATGGGTTTGTTTATAAAATACCCTACCTGTAGATCTTTTTAAAAATTTCAAATTTCAGATTTCTCTGCTACATCTCTAAAGCATATTGAAAAACTAGGTTTTAGATTTTAGTTTAAAATCTAATTTTGGCTGTAATTAAAAACTAGCTAACAAATATAAATTGATATAAAGAATAACTAAATATATAAATAAAAATAGGTTAACGCCAAATATGAGGTTGAGGGTGTTGCTCTCCCTCATTGAGGTTTAGGGTTACATAGATGAATTTAAGATGTAGTTTAGGAGTAAGTTAGATTTGCTGTTTTAAAAAAAATCTATTTCAAATGTATAAAAAATATACATAATTTATATATTTTATTAAATGAAAAAGAAACCGATCATTAAAGTTCTAAATTTATCTCTTAGGCTACATGGAGTCACTCGGCAACACCTTGGCTGCTAAGCTGACATCACCATGCCTTGACATTGGAATCATACTTAACAACCACTAACATATGAGAGAGTATATTCAAATTTTAAAACAAATGAATTTTTTATCCACTTTTTAAAAGTTCAAAATTTCAACCTCTTTCAACAAATATAAATAGGGATATCTACAGAAAAGTCCCAAACTTTTTTCAAAAGTTTCAATAAAGTCCTAAAAGTTTTTTTTTGAACAGAAAAGTCCCAATATTTTGATGTTTTGCCTAAATTAACGAAAAAGTCCTTTTTTATATTTGAACAGCAAAAAGTCATTTTTTATATTTGAACAACAAATGATAGATTATATGATTTTTTTCAAAATATTTGGACTTTTCTGTTCAAATTTTCTTTTTAGAACTTTATTGAAACTTCTGAAAAAAGTTTAAGACTTTTCTGTAGATATCCCTATTTATATTTGTTGAAAGAGGTTGAAATTTTGAACTTTTAAAAAGTGGATAAAAAATTCATTGGTTTTAAAATTTGAATATACTCTCTCATATATTAGTGGTTGTTGAGTACGATTCCAATGTCAAGGCATGGTGATGTCAGCTTAGCTTCTGCCAAGGTGTTGCCGAGTGACTCCATGTAGCCTAAGAGATAAATTTAGAACTTTAATGATCGGTTTCTTTTAGGACTTTTCTGTTCAAAAAAAAACTTTTAGGACTTTATTGAAACTTTTGAAAAAAGTTTGGGACTTTTCTGTAGATAACCCATATAAATACCAACATCTATCCATATTTATATCACACCACAACATTCAATATTCTTCATATTTCTTTCAAACAATCTTCTTATTTTGGTGAAAATAGCTCCCTCCAATTCAACTGTGACATCCCCATTTTCACGGCAAAAAATGACCGATTTTGTTTATGCTTTATAAAAATCAGAGTACCTCTTTTAATAAAAATGTTGCAGAATTTATTCCCAGAAAAACATGATAAATACGTTATCAAAGCATTTCCGAAGAAATGTATTTTTCTCCATTTTAAAACATTTGGGATGTCATCGTCAATACAGAAACATAAGCATAAACATAACTTACATTCATTTACACTAGTGATCTACATCTCTTTTAAATCCCTCAGTGTAAAGTAACTTCATATCGACACATGTGATACAAATAAGCTTGAGTGGGTCAGGTTGGGAAACCTGGTGAGTACATAAGGTTTTCAACCCACAATAATATAATCATTATGTTAAACATCAAACAATCAACGCAATTACCCATCCCCATTATCTTTTTTACTCTTAAGGGTCTACCCTAAGATTCAGCTATTCCTCGATCATTCATTCCTAAGGAGTATACTAAGGAATCAGCACTATGTCTGCATAGTCGCCGAGGTTTATCTCGTTTATTAACAATATCATTTTCAAGAGTCCACTCGTAATACCTGTCAATGGGTTTTTAGAGTACACCAGGTGAACACATCGTTCACAACACCTACAGGTTGCGAGCCTGCTAGTGTTCCACTAGACTGTCTAGAATAGTCCGTGGTTGTCATCCATACTCTGCTAGATGACGGGGCCATCGCTTGGGTCATCATTTGGCTCATCGATTTGGCTCATCATTTTGGCTCATCGCTTTGACTCATCGCTTAGGTCATCGCTTCGCACCATATTTTATCACTCATATATCATCGCTCATCGTTCATCTCATCTTTCTTCGCTCATCATTTATCTCATCTTTCATCGCTCATCATTTATATCACCTCTAATCTACCCATGTTTTACCCAAGACATTTTGTAGATATAAAATACATATACAGTTTAGATCATTTAAAACATGTATAAAACGTTTCATCCAGCATAGGCAACAAGTATTCAGACAGTATACACACATAGCACGTAATTTATATAAAATACTTCATATCTATGTGTAAGATGAAAGTAACTATGCACTCACTTGTTAAGGTGGTGACTCGGTACTCGGACAACACTTCGTTATCTCAAAACAATTTTCCCTTGACAAAACCTAGTATCAATACCACTAGGGTTTAGTCTAACGTTAACCGCGACTAATTAATAGTCTAGCTATTATTATTATTATATAAGCGTTAAACAACACTCTATATAACTCATAATAATAGCTCAAATAATTATTTTAAGGTCCTAATAATGTACTATAATTATTTAAAAGTTATATTAAAAATTGCATATGCGTAGCTCACTTAGAGCGGGTTTTATAGAAAACCGGGCTTCGCTTGGAGCAGCGTTTCCAAACCGAAAGACCCTTTTTCTCGGGAATCCGGGAGCCTCGGGGCTTCCTTCGGGTGCTAGGGGGCTTACCTAGGCTTAGGAGGGGTTAGAGGGGTAGTGAGAGAAAGTAGAGAGAGAAAGAGTTGTGAAAATGTGTGAAAAACTCGGAACCCTTCGCAGCCTATTTATAGACGCCTGGCTTCGGACTACGCTGCACGTTCAGCAGCACTACGCTGGGCGTAGTTCGGATGAGGGTGCCAGCTCGCACCAGTTGGCTCGCACTTGCATCGGAATGGATAAGGTCCGAAGTACGCTGGGCGTACCCGGCCTCGGACGCGGGGCGTAATGGCGAGGCGACGTATCCTTCATCCGAAGCGAGGCGTGATCAGCAAGCAACGACTAGGATCTTGCCACGTCATCAATCGAGCAACAGGCTTCGCAAATTCGAGTCTAAACTTTAAAAATTTGTATCTTCCTCGTACGAGCTCCGTTTCCGACGTATATCCACGCGTAGGCGGGAACATACTCTACAACTTTCGTTTAGACTTCATCGGCTAATTTTGATTCTATTTTAAAAGTTATATTTTTAACAGGCCGGGACAGGGTTGGTCCGTTAAAAATTCATAACTTCTTCATCCGACGTCCGTTTTCGTCTGTCTTTTTATCATTATGCTACTATTAACGAGATTTTCGATTCTCGTTTAGGTTGTGTCGGCTAAAAACCGTTCGATCTAATATTCGAACTTCGGGCTGTACACTGCTAAGCCGAAACTTCGAAAAATCATAACTTCCCCATACGAAGTCAGATTTGGGCGTTCTTTTTATGGATGCTCTCAGTTTAACGTATTCTACGACTTTCGTTTAGATAACTAAGGCTAAAAAGTCGCTCTATCGTAAATTCACTATTTGCTCTTCCCGGTCTCGTGTCGGTTCCGTCGCGAAACTTCGACGGGTCATAACTTCTTTGTTATAACTCGGATTTCGGCGTTCTTTATATGTACGGAACCATTGAGACATATTCTACAACTTGGTTAAGATTATTTATTCTAAATAATCTTTTGTCGAAAAGTCGTTTTCGACCCCTATTATCTTTAAATTGACTAGCCCGGATCTACGGACGTTACATCAACCTTCAAACCCAAAACCCCAAGAAACAAGAAAAAAAAACCTAAAATACAAACTACTTTTAAACCTTTCGTCACCCATTTTCTATCAATTTTAAATGGACTGTCCTATTTTTTCACCTCCACTTTCAATTATACTGTTGCCGTCCATACTGGTAGAATTGATATCCAAGTCAATCCCAACCCCCATTTTAATTCCAATCTAAAACTCAATTTTAATCCCAACACCAATCTCATTTAATACCCGAAACGAATTTCGATCCCGATGATGATCAACCTCAACCGGAACCCAAGAGAAAAAGAAAGACACCTAGTTTTTCAGTGGCACCCCTCCCTACTAAATGAAAAGATATTGAAGAGTTGTGACGAACGTGATGTTATGTGACAGAAAATTTATTGTGACAAAGGTGGTAACACTTTTCTCTAGCCTTAGCGTTTTAATTTTTTTTTAATAAAATTATATTTTTGAAAACCTTTTGTCTTAACTTCTTTTATAACTTAATTTTGTTTACCTATTTGTAAAATCGAATATAGAAAAGGTGTTTTTAAATATTTTATACAATCTTACCTGCACGCAAACGAATATTCAAAAAAAAGTTGGAAAAAAAGTTTGTAAAAAAACTAATTTGTAAAAATTAGTATTTAGAAAAAGTTACCACCTTATATGCCAAACATTTTTATAATATTTGTATTAAAGATGTATTTTGTTAGAAGTGACATGTTTGTGAATGTAACATCTCTCGTATTATTCTTTAATAAAATCTTTCAAAATAATTTTAAAGTTTTAGTTTGTAGAGAAACGATTTCTAAAGTTGAATTCAATATATTTTACAGAGTTCAAATGCAGATAATGGTCCCAATTAAAAATTTCCAAAACATTTAGTGGTTTAATACGACAATTCATGCGGGAGTGCTACAACATATATTTCACGCGGGAGTGCTACAACATATATCAAAACAAGGTTTTAAGAGAATATTACAAACCAAAGGTCTTTTAAATATCCAAAGCTCATAAGTCTCCCAAGCTTCTGACATAAACTTCACAAGTGAATAAACAATATGAGTTAGATCAAAGCTTCTCAATAATAAAAATCCAAACAAGATCATATTGAAACGTCTCTGTAACACCCACTATCAGAAAAGCCAAGAAAGGGAAGGAAAACCCTAAGTCAAAGGGGGGTCAACTCGTCGAGTCCAAGGAGGAACTCGACGAGTCGGAGCGGGATCCGTGTGCAAGATTAAGTGACCGACTCGACGAGTCGGCGAGTCAGGTATG